AACTTTTATTATTAGGCTCTTGATAATTTTAGTGAGAAGACACATCTATTGCTAATAATTATTCAGTTCAGATACAAAAATACACGTATACAACGTTCGGATGTTAGAATATTCAAACAACAGAGCTTTGGATATAGAAACTGTACTATAGTTATTTCCCAGTTAATTCGATTTCTAACGTCGTCCCAGTTTAGCATCGAGGAAGAAATTAAATTGTAAAAACGACTGGCGAAAAATAACTGATTAAATCGATATCGCGAACAATATACTCTATTAAATTCCTCGTCAAATTTACTTCAAAAAATTACTCTTTCTAGGAAATTGAATTCATTCCTTGACGCGTAAGTATTATGCACGCGCCCGATTTTAATCGAATAACATCGGAAAGCTCCTTAAATTCATCCCCTTTTCACCTGTCCATTCGTCTGTCCGCGCTACGGACAACAAGCGCACGATAATCTTGCGGTGCCGATAACGAAGGAGTCAACGAAGAGAGTGAAGTGCAGCCGGAAGCGCCAAGATCGGAAGTCATGGAGGACAGTGGAAAATGATGTGTTACGGCGACCGATTCACTACGGACTGGACCGACGTATTCGCTGAATACGAAATTTTCTCTGGCTTGATCTCGATAAATCTTTCTCCTTGCTCGTCATTTTTTTTCTCTTTTTCATCCCTCTTCTCTCTCTCTCTCTCTCTCTCTCTCTCTCTCTCTCTCTCTCTTTCTCTCTCTTGTCTGTTCATTTTTTTGCGTCTTCATTTGCTCGATGGTCGAAATTGGAAGGAAAGAAGAAAAGACATAGAGAGAGTGTGAGAGAGAGAGAGAAAGAGAAAGAGAAAAAGAGAGAATACGGTAAGAAGTTATCCTCGTGGCACGATCGTCTTCACGGATCCTTCAGTGAAAAACGTTTAAACCCCCGATCAGATTGGACCGATGGAGAAATTAATGCGTCCCGAGCTTCCCTCGGTTTTTAATCGATGCTCGAAGCTGACTGAAATTTACAGCCCGATTCGATCCACCTTGCGAAGAAGCGGATTTCAAAACTTCCTTATCGCCCTGTAATTAATGCGTTCGCGTTCGTTTTCTTAATTGGAATTCCTGCGTTCGATAATTACGTGGCAATTCGACGTCTACCGATGCAGCTTCGCTATAGTTGATTGCTTTATGATGCTACCGTGGAAATAGAGAAAATTCGTGTACTGTATATAATTATATACAATAATTTCGCTTATAGATAAAACGGAGTGTTTCATTTTTTGAATTTTCTAGTATTCGGACATTCTCAGATAGAATATTTACTGTAATAGTACTAGATGTATTTTCTTGTACTAAATCATTTGTGCACATGTACTTATTTATATGTATGCATAAATAAATGTTAATATAACTGGACTGCGAATATTTATATGAGAAATTCAAAGACGAAAAGACATAGTATGCAAAGATGCACATAATATGCACATAATATGAATAAAATGTTCAAAGCATAGTTGGTATATTTATTAGAATATTGAGTAAAACATGCCTGCGTCTATATTCCATTTTTTAAATCACTTTCACAAGAAATATGCATAATTATGCATAAGCATCCGCTTATGTTTATTTAATTTAAATCTAGTGATTGTAATATTACGAGCAAATATAATAATTATACTATAATCATATTGTACAATATATTCATATCAAAGAAAATTAAATTCATATAATAATAGTTGGAAACAATAGTAAAAACAAAGGTTTTAAGAGTTCTCAAAGAGTTAGAAAAAACTACATATATATATCTATCGTAGGATGTACAATATTCTAGGAAGAACAGCAAATTTAAATTTTAAAATTAAATTTTAAATTTAAAAATTAAATAAATTTGTAATAAATTTGAGTTATGAATTTAAATTAAAAAATGTGATCGATACTTCAGAGGGCGCGGCCAAAGACTATTAAGAGTCTCATAATTATGATCAATTACTTATATAGAATTTCCAATTTTAAATAATACGAATCTGAAAAATCGATTCGTTTTATATTGATCATATGTATGTTTGAGACGTAAGATTTTACTGGCGAAACATATGAGAGATTATACTTAATTTCGTGATAAAATTATGAAGATATTATAATTTTTGCATAAAATGGAACAGCAAACAAAAAATGCTTGATGCAACTTTGATGATTTGAAGAAGAAGAACAATATTCGACATAGTTAATGTCGAGCTTAGTCATTCTAGTATAGTATATAATATATAATATAGTATATTATATATAATAAAATATAACATTATATAATATATTATATTATATAATGTTATATTTTATTTATTATTATATTATGTAATATAACATATTATATTATAAAATTTATATAATATATAATAATAAAATAATAATGACATATATAATAATAAAAGAAAGTTAGTGAATCTCTATTATCCGAAATCCTCAATTAGCCTTGTACGTTGACGTGTTGGGATAAACGAAGTTTTACTAGAAATTAATTAATTAAACAACCCCGAAAAATGGCACTCTTAAATATCGAAACAAACTGACAACCTTCTCAACCTTCATTTGGATACATACAATTTAACGTTAGAAAAGCAATCGTTCTATATCTATGAATCATTCTAATATCTAAATTCTATCATCTACTATCTAAAATTAGATTTAGATTCTATTCTATTATCTAAAAAAATTAGAGTCTATTATCTAAAAATTCCATTAACTGAAAACTTTGTCCTCCTCTTGGTTCGTATACGAGAAGCTCTACTGTATTTTACATTTATAGCAATAAGTAGAAACGGGTGGTGCCTGGTAAGCCGTCGAGCATAATCCGCCACCAGCTTAAGAACGCGCTCTAAACGCTTAATTATTAAATCTCGGCTCTTTCGTCTGTCTCAGCTTCCTCCGCCAAATGTTTCGCGCTCCAAGTTTAAACGGTGGGAAAGAGCAGTCTGAAATCAGCATATCTCCATGGAAAAAACCGAGGGAAATAAAATACGCGAGGTCCGGAATTGCCTCGAATCTCTCGGAAGGATTATAGGAGCGAAAGCAGAAATTTCGAGATCAAATTTCGGGAGAGATTTTCAAACGTGCTTTGTGATTGCTCTGCTTATGATGAACGATATATATACTTGCTCTGCGGAAGAGAGCCACGCAGAAACGCAGATAGTTTCTGTGGATACGGGGGGGTTTAACCACGTCAAAGGTATCAGATCCGGGCTTGATCCTCTCCAGAATTCTCCGGAGCTTCATCGGCGAATCACGCTGCGATTGCGTTTCACGGTGTCGGCTACAGGTCATAAATAAATGCTTTCGTATACCTATTCTCCAACAATCGTGAGAAAGAAACGAGCAGCAATCGCGCTGAAAGCTGCTGAAATTTGCGAGGGACGAGCGTGGAAAAAGTCGAGAGTGATCGAACGTGTTTCCGATTCAAGATTTAATACCTGCCGGTGAATTTCACTCGAATATTTTATCGGTAATATTAAATATCGTTTAATGTCGGAAAATTTGTATTGATTACTGGCGCCTCGCTCGTAGCCGGTACTGGGATTCATTTAACCCCTTGCAGCTGGCAACTGGTTCGCGGACCGTAACGAGTGACCGAACCGTGTACAACAATTAGTCGCTTTCTTTTTCTTTTAAACTAGTCCGTATGACATCAGTGGATAGAAACTATCAAGAAGTAATCAACTTATCATTTGTTTTGCCTGGGAAAACACATTTCAAATATATTTAAAACTGAGAAAATGTTGCAATTTGGGACAAAAGATTCTCGACATGCGTGGCACGTCAGTACAGCGCAAGAGGTTAATTACGTTTCGAATTGAAACTTTTTGTCTGTCTTGCTTCGAACGACTGCGAGATATACAGCGAAGAGAAATAATTTGAACCTCTAATTATAGATTTTATACAAATCTTTTCCTACTGCTGTTGATATTGAAATACATAAAGAACGAACGTCAGTCACAAAAAGAAAAAAACATTTTAGATGATTAAAATCATTGTGAACAATTATTTAGTATTTGTGTTTAGCAGAATGTTTTTAATTATTTCTAACAAGAAATGTTCATTGAGCAACATTTTTTTCAATCATCCATAATTTAGAAATTAAGATATGTAGGATATATTTAAAGTATGTAGTAACAATAATATATTATGGTTTAGTGTGTAATATATAATATAATAATATAATAACAATATATTATATTATAGGTTATTTAAAGTATATAGTAATAAATATATATTAACTATAATAATAATATATTATAATATAATTAATAATATATATATTTAAATACAAAGTTATTTGTTATTTGAGAATTTAAATTAAAATTATTTCTCGTTCGAACAGAGAGTTGAAACAATGAAATCAATCGTTTTTTAAAAGCTCGTTTAAACAACGTCCAACTGATTATCATCCGCAACCGATTCGAGTCACGAGATTCATCACGACGTCAAATAATGCAGTTTCACGAACGCTGGCGACGAAACTGGAAAGAAAAAAAACCTCGAATTTTCTCGAGTACGTTTTACCGATAACGTCCTTTCTACTCTTTTTTTTTTTTTTTTCGGCCTTCATCCCCCATAGGTTTTCAGAGAGAGGAGACGCATAATCTATACACAAACCGGTCAGAGACACTAGTGTGCCGATGTTGACAGGTTATTGGCAGTTCAAGGGCTGAAAATGCCCGGCCGGGCAGTATCGGTCCCCATTTTCCAGCTTTACGATGACGACCATTGTTATTGGCATAGTAGCCCTACCAGCAGAAAATTGTCGGCGATAGCTAGGGTGCGAGTTAAAAGAGCGAACTCTATTATCGAACACGGCAATACACTTAATCACTTCTCTATCGGAAATAGAGTGTGGTTCTTTTTTTAACTTCCCAATGGGTACTTCAGCTTGGAGGTCTTTTGTTGAAAACGCTTCCCGGTCGGTTTTATTGCGGCCAAGTAAAATCCAGTTCCTCCTGGTAGTCATTAGTTTTATAGGTCAGTATGTTAGAAACGTCATCGTGAAATTTCTAAAATGAAAGTAACCCTTAAATATTAATATTGTTAGGTCACAGACGATAATGAATTGCTAAGATTGGCGACTGGATCGGACGGACAGATAATTAATTGGATTGTTAAAATTTAGAATGTGTTTGATTTTATTTTATATTTTAAATTCCGCGCGAGATAATTTCAGTAATAATTTTTGAATAATGAGTAATTAAGCTTTAAAATTTTTAATTCAATTATTTGTGATTCCAATGGCTCGGCGATATCGATTAACCTTCTATAACTAGAATTTGATTCAGTTATAAGTAAAAATGGTTATCAGTTAATTATAACTATTTGATGCTATTCTGAATCTAAATCTAGAAACTGATTGGTATGAGTAAATCATTTTTTAACGTATTGAGATAATAAATTATTAAAACGTAATATATTGATGAAATACGGATCATTTTTCAAGAATCAATGTAATAATATAATATTATATTGAACTATAAAAGAGATTAGATTTAGATTATTTTTGATACATCAATCTTTGGGATCACAGATCCCAATAGACATATACAATAAGGTCTAACAAATGTATATTTTTCTTCGGTTTTGTTCAAGTGACATATTCTCGACATTTTTTTAAAAACATTTTGATGTTCTCTCATTTGAGAAATTATTTATTTATACACTTTTAAACATACTTGAATACCTCGGCACTAATATCGCGAAATATATTCCATCAATAAAAATAGTAAAGAGATGTCACATTTTAGTTGATATTTCGCTGATATAAAATTTAATATAAAATTTAACCCGAACATTGATCGAATACCAACACTTTGTGGAAAATCTAAAAACCGTAAGTTCCTACTAGACTGCGAAGCGTTTCCAATCCATTTGACAATAACTTCCCTTGACAAATGTGTTTTGCTCCGCAGAATTGTGTCCAACACGCTTCAGACGAAGCGAATGATTCCCTTGTTTCCTTCATCGCAATTATTTTTCATCACAATTCTCCTTTCACATCCATATTCATTCCAATTCTATATTTCGTATTTTTCTAAATTTCTCAACGAAATGTATATTTTTAGAATGATTTTTTTTCCTTTATTACCAATTCTGCCTGTATTTTTGTTAAACTTAAATTATTATTCTTCACTCGAAATTACAAAAAAATTCGAGAAGAGATTCCTGATTTGAAGAAAATTCGAATTAACAAATTTTGAGATTATTATCAGCTGTGTCTATATTCATTGACTGTAAAAATTAGATTAGTATTTTTTCATTAAAAATTATATTTCAAAGAATTGAGAAATTTTAAAATTATTTAGCGAAGCTTACAAAACAAATCAACCCCAACCAACAGACTATCTTTATTAAATTTAAATTGCTGTTTTTTTCACTCGAAGTTGTTTTAAAATATTCAACTCGACGGTGTTTCAAGAAAATCCCTCGAACATGAACGTAACCATACCATAATCACGCGAATCATTGAAAATGCAAAGAGACTTTCTCGTACCTTCTACGATGATGACGACGATGACGCCGTTTCGATGTGTTCTGCGTGCTGCTTTCCGGTTGGATGGTGAACACTTCCTCGACGTTTTCCACGTTCATGTTTTTTATTTGATTCGCGTTCTCGGTGGTGGTGGGAAACGCGTTCAACTCTTGAGACGTTCTCAAAAACGTCTGCATCGATTTTGTAGCGTTCGATGCCGTTTGCGAGGCTTCGCGTCCTTGTTTTCGAGCAGAGTGCCTCTTTTTCGTTGGCGGACTGGTCGATTCTAGCCTGAACAATTAATATTCCTCATCAGACCAAAGTCGTTGAGATTAGTTTGAAATTAGAAATTAGAAATTCAATAATCGCGCGAGAAATTCAATGTTCAAAACATACGTTTAATATGTATATTTTGTAATGGGAAAAAATAATCACGATGCAGTTGAAATATTGTAATTGTAAAAATTATAGTAAAATATGGAAACATTTAGTTGAAAATTTAAGACTTATGTGCCATTTCTAGCGAAACAATAAATAGCGAAACTAAAATAAATAGCAGAGCATGATATTAAAATCATGTAAATAATTGATACTCAACGTATATACGAATATGTTCTACAGCTTTGACAGAAATATTAATTAATTATCATTTAACTTTGTTCTACAGCTTTTGAGATAAATATTAATTAATTATCATTTAATTATTATTAATTATCACCATTCATTCAACACATCAGACCAAAAAATCCTATGAACTTATACATATAACATCGTTCATTAAAATATAATTTATTCTTCCGTAAATAAATATAAATATAAAGTTCAAGTATCAAAATAAGATTCAACATTTACACGAATAATATGTGTATACAAATTATTTATATATGTGTATAAATTATAACACAAATTTATTACAAAGAATTGTTAGAAAATTATATAAGAATAAAAGAGAAACAGAAAATTATCTATGAAACGAGGATTCGTTCTCTATTTCCGCCGGTTTAATTAATTTTCTCAACTTCTATATGTTTAAAAAAGAAAAATAACTAAACAAAAAATTAATTAAAGTTACGTAAGTGGTATCATATGGTACGTCTTTTATTCAAAACATCGGATTAATTTTCAAACAGACTCGTATAACACCGTCCGTTAAAATAATTCATCCTTCCATAAACGTAAAGTTCAAGTATCATTAAAAAAAAAAAATAAAATAAAATTCAATCTTTGCATGAAAAATATATATTACGTTTATAAGTTTATTGCAGAAAGTTATTTAAAAATTATATGAGAATGAAAACGTAACGATCTAGAAACATCTCGCTGACAAACAAAATTCATTTTGAAACGAGAACCGTTATTTCTATTATTTTAATTAATTTACTCGACTTCCATACATTGAATGTCACTTCTTTAAAGTTTGTTTTTAGCATTCGCTCCTTATTTAGCGCATAATTGAAGTTTATCTATATAGAAAGATATTTAATATGCACTAACGTTTGAAAAAAGAAAATAGAAAGAAGTTTCTTAAGTGGTGTCGCGTGACACGTGGCAGAATTGAGCACTTTCTGTTTGGAATAAAAATAACAAATAAAACAGGGAAATGGTAAGCAGTAAATTTACTTCAAAGTAAAAACGAATGCAAACTGCAATATCTCATTTGAAACGTAGATCATTTCCAAGTAGTAATTTCAAACAACAATGCAAAATAAGAAATAACAGTCTTTTTGTATAGATACATCTGTCCAGGACAGAAACGATAGAAAGAAAATTATTTTCCTTGGATAGTAAATGCGCACCATCATTTTAAATAAAATTACAAACAATAAAGTAATCTAAGTATTATAAACAATTATCAAACGCGTTTCTTTTGTTTCTATCCATTGTTTCTCACAATGGAAGTGTGCTGTCATTTTGACCCGCTAAATATTACCATATATCTATTTCTTTTTTTAATAACACAAAATGTATTACGAAACGTTTAATTTATGTTACTCGTACACGTTGATAAAAGCAGCAGGAAGAATGCACGTAAGAAAGATTTTGCATTATTCGTTTAACCCCTTGCGCTGGCGGACCATAACGAGTGACCGAACCGTATATATTTAATATATTCGTCGCTTTCCTTTTCTTTTGAACTCATCCGTATGATATCACTGGAAACTATTAAGAAGTAATCAACCTATCATTTGTTTTGCCTGGGTTACATTTCAATATACATAAAACTGAAAAAAATGTTGCAATTTGGGACAAAAGATTCTCGACGTGCGTGGAACGTCATTACAGCGGAAGAGGTTAATCGAAAGAAATTCAATAATTTTTAGGGTGCGCTATTGTTTTGGTCCCAATGTGTACTATCGCGAGTCCGAGCGGATCAATCTCGAATCGCGTAATTTTCGTGTGAAATTTTCGTGCCGTTCTACCTGAATTCGACGCCTTCGTCCCTCACCCCAGGCCTGGCGTCTTCGTTCCTCGCGTTAAAACTGAATCCACCCTCGAGCTCGCCGTCCATGCTGTATTGATTCCGGTCTACCATAATTGGTTCGGATTTCTCTCGAGAAGCGACCATCTCCTCGTTCTCCTGATGCGGCTCGTTAGCGTTGTGCTCATTTTTAAATTGAAGGATCTCTGAAATGATCACCTGTCGCTAGTCACACGTCCACACCTTGACAGAGGTTATCTATCTATCTCCGGATAATGGGAAAGTTCTTTGCCCGGGGAAGAGAACTTTTTCTTACCTGTAAGACCCTCTTCCTCGACCTGAAGACCCTCTTTCAGGACTTCGTCCCGGTACTTCTCCAGCTCTTCCAGGTAACTCTTGTTGAGCTTTTGCTGTCGCCATTCGGTCTCGTATTTGATGTTAGGCAGGGCGATGTCGCCTAGAAATCCACCTGAAACAGAATCACGTCGATGCAAAGACTCGCCGTCTGTCTGTAAAACTGAATGTATGGCTAGAGTGTGGCTGTATTTGTGAGAGTAAACTGTTTCAAGATCTGTTATCTTTAACGCTCTGTGATATGAAATCTCCATGGAATTTCTCTTCTGAACTCGTTTTCTTTTTGATTCTTCATTATTCATTATTCATAATTATTTTAATATTTTCGAGTACCCGATCGTGAAAGAATCCACTCCAATCGTTTTCACAATCCTGAGTTCTATATTATTTCCCTCAAAGTCGTTCGTTCGTTACGTAGCGAGTGGAAACGTGAAGATACTATCTTTCACATATACAAAAATATATGTCTATATCGACTAAATACTGTTGAATACTTTGTTATGATTATAGCTTCTGTACGACAAACCGATGAACTATAGCTCCTCATTACGATGTGTTCATATGTACGTACGTAATTCTTTAGCTTATGTATTACGATATTTATACATTTAATAAAATAATAATTTAATATAAACAAGTGTTTTGGCTTTCGACCCGACGGATTCAGGTATTTAGTTGTTTCGTGTTTGAAAAGCGCGGCAAACTCGCGCTCTCACGATTCACCGTATCTAACGAATCTGTTGTACGCGCGTGCTGACAAAGATTGAACATTAGCCTCCGGTGGCCACGTAATCCTCGAATTTACATTCCCCCGTCTGCACGTGATTCGGACTTTCGACGTTCACCGTCCATATGTCTTGTTAGCGATATCAGCCGCGGGATAGCAAGTTTCCAAGACGTTCGCCCGCTATAGCGTGGCGCATTGCATAGTCTTATTATCAACGTTCATAAATCATGAAACATGGTGTTATCGGTGAAGAGAGAGAGAGAGAGAGAGACTCTATTCTGCTGCAGTTGTTGCGACCGATGTAAACAGCTTCGGTCGTGTTATCAGTTATCAAGAGCGGGTCGAAGATTCGTGAGCAGAAAAAGAGCAGAGCCACTCGAATGGATCGTGCGTGAGAACAGGAAAGAAGTGAAACAGTGGTAACGAATATTCTGAAAAATTTTTATAACTAGATTAACCCTCGTCCTCGGTTCTAGAGGACGTATATCAGTTGACTCAATTTGCATTTTGTCCAATTTTTGCTCAGAATGAAGCGATAAAATTAAATTATTGTAATGATAAGTTAACTAAATTAATTTTTTTAAAAAAATTAGATATAAATAAACACGAATAATATCTAATTTTACTTTTTAATAGGAATCTAACTTGTATATTTGGCTCATTAATTTTTGAGGCTATTAATATAGTGAAATTAGATCAATTAACGTTAATATAATTACAAAAGATACAAATTTAATTTTACCTACTGATTTATAATAAATTTCATTCACATAAATAATGCTATTGATTCAAAATTTTGAAACAAAGCCCCACATAAAACTTTATTGTACAATATAACAAATTTTTCAAAACGGAAGTAATATTTATTGTGTACATGTAGCATTTATATTTATTACTGTATATTTTGTGATACAGATTGTCATTTCCAATGTACAATGCCATATCAGAACAAAATGAAGAAACAGAAGAAGAAGCTCATTTGGATACAATCATATTGTTTGACTTTAAAAATTATTGGTTGCAAGAAAATAGAATTTCCTTGTCGATCGAAAACAACAATTAAATAGAAAAAATCGAGCCCAAAATTCTGATACAAATATTATCAAACAATTCTATGACCATATTTCCACTACTCGAGATACTGAACGAGTATTATTTCACGGGCTGACTAATAAAGAATTTTATACTTATCAGTATATACTAACCTTATTTTAATACTTTATTACAATCAGTGAGCACTAGCAGAGGATAGTAAATATTTTAATAAGTCAAATTGTAAATGATTTGTTAAACTATCGTGTAGGTTTCGATGATATAAGCCGAGCTTGCAATTTAGATTATGATGTAAGTGGGCTAATAAAGAAAATTTAAGACGAATTTAACTAGAAATTTAATCTCTCATTCAAAATTTGATAGATTCCATATACAGTATGTTTCAACATCGAAATATTTTGAAAAATATTCCAGACGAAAGTCGTAGAGTATGTGTCTGACTTTATAGTAATCACAAAGCATGCTGTGAAGGTCGTTTTAAAATTTTTAAATAGATTTCTATATTTTTTATAGCATATTCTTATATCTTACATCCAGACATTTTCAAAACACTATGCATTTTTTCATAAAGTGTTATTGAGTTATTAGCTTTCAGAAATTTCGTATCACTAACAGTTTTTCGAAATATTTTAATGCTCTCAGATAAACGTATATTGTATAATAAAGTTTGGGAATTATACGAAGCAAAAAAGTTAAATACTAGATATTAAAATATATAAAAAAGGATATTTTTAACTTTTCAATCTCTTTTGTAATAAACAATAGTTTGTTAAACCTGACGTTCATTTTATTCCGATATATGCAAACGTTTTTAGAATTTTTTTTCTGTGATTATTTTTAAAATGTTTCTATGGCACAGTATGCTTATTAAAAGTTATAAGCAACGTTTTTCTGCCAGTTATTCAGAAAACATGTGGCTCCACTTATATACTTGTTGAAAACGACTTTATGATTTTCAAAATTATAAATAACATTTTCTCTATCAATTACGACATCTGGCTCCACATATTCTCATTAAAATTTCTATAATTTCTAAAATTATAAACATCATTTTTTTGCCAATTATTCCGAAATCATCCGGATTCAAAATTTTATGGTTTTCAAAATTTCTTTGTCAATCATTCAACAAGCATCTCGGTTCGGAATCACTCAATTGTCATCACATCGTGAGAGTTAAGGGAACAATTGACCGTTTTTTCTTGCTCTTTGACCCGCTTCAGTGGCACGCAAAGGGAAATGATTCAATTATACAAGACAGAGACCGTTTCGTTAGATAGGATGATCGTCCAATTCTGCGTAAACCACCTGGCCGATTTCTTATTGTTGGTTGAAGAGTCAGGCACTCGATGAAGAGATATATAAATGACTCAAACGAAAGGAATTGTCATCGTTGCGCTTTCCGTTGTTGATTCGATCAAATGGATCCGACTGTCCCCGTTCTCGAACGAGGGAAACGAAAGTGGAATCAAACAAAACGGCTCTATGTAAATCTCTCTAAAATATCGAGGGCTTTGCATAAATAACTAGCCTATTATGGGGCATCGATCTCGCTATTGACCTCGTCTCGTTCGGATGACGAGTGGAGTAAAGAACCTAACCAGTGGGTTGAACGTGAATGAATCGAAAATAAGAGACGACAGGAAAGGGAGGACGGGTTATCTTTAACAAGAAAGTTGAAGGATCGTTGAAAAAATAGCTCTTGACGTGAGATATTCGGATATCAGAAATTTCGTGTCAACTACTATCGAATGTTAACTCTTTGAGTGATAACTCTATAAATTTAACAATTATATATTTAGTAGTTAGTAATTTTTATAATTAATATTATTATATTAATTATAAAGTTAGTTATATTATTATAAAGTTAGCACTTTGTGTTGAAGTTTTGATAAATTTAATTTCAATTTTAATAATTCTTTAAATAATTTTAATAACTTGAGTGTTTAAATTTAAATAATTTAAATAATTTTGATAAATCTAGAAGTTTAATAATGTTTAACGAGAAGCGTGCAATAAACCAAGAGTGCATTTATCATTAAATATATATTTTTTGATGTATTTAATCAATATATTATGCAAATAATTGATTGTGTGATTGACATACGAATTGATTATAAGATTACGACATTAATTATAAGATCTATTCACGAACTAAACATTCAAACGGTTAATTAATCATCTCTTTTATCTGCATTTAATTCATATTCTGGCTTTTATAGATAACAATTTTCTATGTCCATCATAATGAAGACTAAATTATTAACCTTGATTATTCAAAGTAATCATGATATATGGCCGGATAATTGAACTAAAGTTTACTAAACTTTCTACTTATAATCAGTTCTGACTAATATTTTAATGACGGAGTATGCCAAGTGTCATCTTAATCGATAATTATGATCAATTGTACTTGGGAAATATTCAAAGATGGGTAAAATATTACTTGACCGTGCTGGGTAAAATATTATTTTAGATAACAAATAGCGAATAAACTAATTTTACTTACGCTTTAATAACTTTAAATTTATTTGTTACAATAAGTTTTTTAAAATAATTTTATTTGCCGAAATCTTATTTTCCATTTAAAATGTTATTTTATTTAAATCGTAGTTACGATCTTTGAATTTTTATACTTCAATTTTATACTCTGTTTAGCTAACAAAAAGGATTTATAATATATATTTTAAGAAGATGTTTAACACGCTAATAAACAATGCATACTAGTAAGAATTTTTTCATATTTCGTTTAAACTTGGGACGTTTTTTAATTTTACAGAAATATAAATTGGTCGAAAATAATTATATAAGCATGGCAGAATTAAATAGTACCTATTTGAAATATTTTGTTTTAAAATTTTACTCAGCACGGATTATTTTTATAATGCAAGATCCCTACTTTAGAGACACTTTGTATAGTTTATATACCGAAAACACTAACTGGAAAATGCTTTATAACAAGTAACCAGATTGCAATTTATAAACGCAGTGAACATGCTTTGGCTGGCGAAACAATTTCAGAAAACCATCAATCTTTCTTCCCATTTTCCGAGAAGGTCTGTGGTAACAGGTCATTGCTCATAACAAAAATCTCTCGTCGATAAAGCATTAAACAAAAATTGCAAACGTTCTCCTATCTGCTTGTTAAAAATAACACCCTTCCACACTTTTTCTCTTCTAAACGAGCAAACAAACAATAATAAACACTATCGTCGCGCAGACCAACACGACCTGTGCCGTTTGAGAGCGATAGGTCCGTTGTAACTCGCGCGTAAACGACATTTTCGCGTAAATGGCAGCGCATAAACGTCTAATTTAGTGGAGTCGGTGCGCATGATTCGACGATCGTCGGGGGATTGCAACATTCTGCACGCTTCGTTTTTGACCTCTGACCCGCCCCGGGCGGCACGCCGTTTCGCTCGGTATCGTTGACGAAATATCCTCGCCACCAGGCTTATCGGCGTTTTCATAGCGGAA